AAGCAAGCCATGACAAGTCACATAGTGATGTAAATATTGACAAAAAATTATTATGTTCCACATGACATATAACTGAAAACCTGCTCACCACCTGCACAGTGGAAAATGCACAGTGAGCTACATTTCTAGGACATCTCAAGTCTTCATAAGACTTTCCCATTAACAACAAAAAAATTAAAAGACAACCAAAAAAAGGTAGGATAAAAAGTACAAACCGTTGCTAGAAAATCACTAATACCCATAGCCATTCTGCTCAGCATGCTCATCATCACGACCACCGTCAACCTCAACTTTGCTTGCACGTTCGGCTTCCTCCTTCTCCCTGTTCCACTGCTCAATTTTAGCTCGTCTCTCTTCACTTCCCTCCCTGACCGGACTACGGTTCCTTCTTCCTCCTGGGCTCCGGCTCCTTCCCCTTCTCCGGCTCGGGCTCGTGCTCCTGTGCCTCCTGCTCCGACTCTCATGATAGTCCCGATCATCGTGCCTTCTGCCATGACCCCGGCTGCTGTGTGACCGCTCTTCATAGCTTTTGTGCCTATAGGGACTTCTGCTTCTGCTTCTGCTCCGGCTATGCCTTCTCCTGTACCTCCCGAACAATTGGCGCCTCAACTCTCTGTATTGAAGACAAAAATAGTCAATTATAAATCTTTGGAGTTATTAATACAGCTTTTGTATTACTTTCGGTAGAGTGATATGAGGAAAACTTCATGATATACCTGCTAATTCTTTTCAGATGCATGAAGTTACAGTACCCACCACGGTTGCAGGCATCCTCCTCGTATTGCCGACAGGTGGCCTCACGGAAATCCGTCACCGGAGAGAAGTCGACAATGATGGGTCGTCCTGCAAGAAAAATTATTGAAGGAAGAAGTTCATGTTAAGTAAAATTAACATTAAAAAAAAAGTCAAATTAACATTAAACTGTGGTCCTCAAAATTGAAAACACAGAAAAGAAAATGCAGTTGACAAGGAAAACGGGAGGTGCTTAATTGTTTTTTACCTGCATAAAATCTTCCGGTCAGATTCTTCAGAGCATTTGCGGCATGCTCTTCCTCTCTGAACTGCACATAGACATTGCCAACCTGCACAAATGGAAAACAGTTAATACATTATCGACTTAAGTATATCCTAGATATGATGAAAACTGAAAGAAAGTTACCATATGATCTGCCAGATTGTCGCAGATATTAAGGCTTTCAATCTCACCATACTTGTTCAGTTCCTCAAACAGATCTTCATAAAAATCCTGCAGCACCCAAGAAGAATGACAGAAAGAAAATAAAACTGAGAATGGCACATAAAAACACCGTTTCATCATATAAACAGAGATTGAAATTGAGAAACACGTGGAATAGTGATTGCAATATAATCAAACAAAAAATCATAAAGCTTCCTTACCATGCCAAAGGTGAGAAAAATAATACAGCGAAACAACATTCAACTAATATAAGATAAGCAGTCGTTTAAATAGGACTACATCATCTATCAAAGCAAATCTAGATAGTACAGATACCAGTGGGGAACAAAAAGTTTAAATAGCACTGCATCAACTATCAAAGCATTAAATCCAGATAGTACAGACACCAGTGGGGAACAAAAAATTGTGCATGTTACCCCATGATTTCTTTATTGGAATTGAAATGTGATACCGTACAGATCAACTGAAGGAAAAACAGCACAAATTCCATTAGATTTTTTACAGAATAACATTTAAACAAACAAACAAAATTTAATAAGTGTTACTCGAGCACAAAACCTCAAAATTGTCCTCTCGCAATCTCATGTGCTACAACTCAAACCCGAAATACGAAATCGAGATCAAAACAAAACAAATCTAGAGCACACCAACATTCATTAAAACAAATCATCCCTACAGAGGAAGCTCAAGAACAACCAAACTCCCGAAATCAAAGCATCAAGCACGACAGATATAACAATTGCTAGCGATTATGAAGTAGAACAAATCAGAAACAAAGAGAAACAGAGAGACCCTAACCTCGAAGTGCTCCTGCATCTTTTTTGGATCGATAGGTTGGCCCTGAGCGTCGACGCCGGGTGTAATCATGTCCGGGCGCTGGTACATGTTGGAGAGCAAGAGGGTGGGGCTAATACTTGGCTTCGTGTGGAGGCGCGAGCAGCGGTCCCCGTGTCTGCACGCGCCGATCTTGAAGTAGAAAGGGCAGTTCACCCGATCCTTCTCCGTTCCGAATATGGACGCAAGGTGCTCCGCCATTGCACAAGATCCAGAAGCTTCTTCTGTTCCTCAATTCCTTCCAAAGTTGAGATTTGTCTGATTAGGGTTTCGCAAATGAAAGCGTTAATTGGGGGAACAGATGCACTAAATACGAGAAGCGGCTAAGTGGGTAATAAAATCTTGTTGTTCTGGATTGTTCTAATATATAACTTTATATAAAACTGCGTAACACACTCTAACAAATTTGGTGGTTTGCCCGAGTGGTTAAGGGGGAAGACTTAAGATCTTCTGCACTCAAGTGCGCGTGGGTTCGAACCCCACAGCCACCAATAACCTGTTTAAAATTTTAGCACGAACAATAATAATCTTTAAAAGTTATACTGTTTTATTCATAATAGGGTAAATAACTTTTTTGCCATTCAAACTATAACGATTTTGGCGCTTTACCATATAAATATTTTTTTTTGGCAAACCACCATATAAATTACAAGTTTTTACACTTTGCCCTCCAAAACCATATTTGAAGTAGTTTTGTACTGCAAAAGTTGTTTTACAAGGATATTTTGGGAATTGCAAATTTTAAAATATTGCAAAAGTACCCAAGACATGAAATCATAATTTATAGACTGTTCAAAAATAACAAATCAACCCCACTTCTTTATCAAATTCACACAAACCCATTTTTTATTCATTTTAACTTTTTAATTTAAATCCCAAACACAATCAGGACAAGATAATAAAGACTCGTTTTTTTTTCCTAATTCAAGAGTTAACAGAAAAGGATAATCCACAAATCGGACATCGCCATTGACACAGACGTCGGCCTCCGCAACCCCGACCTCCTTTTTAGCCTCGAGAACCGCGTCAAATACACCGTCGTCGGGGTCCTCAATGTCGATGACCCAAGGCTTGGAGAAGAAGAAGTTGGATCAGGAGAATTCGGGCTTTTCTTCTTTGATTTCCCCAATTTTGGCTCGACGACTCGGCGGCGGCGATGGATTTGTCCGGCCAGAACAATCTGTACTCGACGTAATTGTCGTCGGGCTCCAGCTCGCGCTCAAGCTCGAAATTAGAGTTCTGGAGAAGGACACCGGAGACAGAGATGGAGAGGGCTTGCAGGAGTGAAGGGGTCGCTCGAAATTAGGGATTGCTGAGCTCAAACTCGAAATTGTTTTCTTCAGTCTTCTTTTATTTATTTATTTATTTATTTAATTTTTATAAATATCCAATTCCTAGAATAGCCCCAAAAAACCGGTTTGAATGAGGTGAAACCGAGCTTAAACCTGGTATAGGGAGCAATTTGACAAACTCGCACAGTTTATATGGTGGTTTGCAAAAAAAAAAATGTTTATATAATAAAGTGCCAAAATCGTGATAGTTCGGATGGAAAAAAGTTATTTACCCTTCATAATATATTTATTAGTTTGATTATGGCTGTGTTGTGCACAGCCGAACCCAAAGTAGCTTTTATTTAATTTTAATTTAAAAATTATAATTATGTAATATATTTTATGAAAATATTTTCAAGTGATATTCTATAAGACATTCGTGTCATAAAGTGATATTTGGTTAATTAATGAGTTTTATTGTGTGAATTCGAAGTATATTACATAGTTCAACTTGAATTTTTGGATCTCGTAAATTTAAATCATTTTCTCAATTACCTTTCATGGACCTTTTGGATTTCATAATAATGTCACTATTTGATATGGCCATTAGTAAGGGTTCGCCTCAGACCGGTCTGATTCGGTCGTCATCGTTATGATGGGAAGACTGGCTAGGCGGCATACCAAGGAGTCACGTGCTAGGTAGGCGGGATCACTAGGCAGCTGGACACCTCGGCACTTAGGCAGCTGGACACCTCGGCACCTGGACAGTTCGGCCAGAGGGTTCTGCCGAGGCGACCGGAGCCCGGTGATGGCTTCGTGAACAAGTCGTGTGAAAGTTTGTAGTGATAAGGACTCTGACGTTCTGGGCATCTTTGACCTAATTTGTGGATAAGTGTGAGGAAAAGACTTCTAGACCAACAAGAACTCTACGACATGTGCAAGACCTCATCTATAAAAGGGGACAGGTTTATTCATTTTACACAACACACATCCGCATATTGTCTTGTTACTCTGCCGTTTTCTCTCCAAAACACCACCACTGACTTGAGCGTCGGAGTGTTCACGCCGGGACCACCCCCGGCGTGTTTTGCAGGTACCGGCGATCGAGAAGGTTCAATTCGGTTTGGGAGGAGCGGTCGAGCGGTTCGAGTATTTGTGGTATAACACTATTATTACACGTCTCCCATCCAATAAAAATCAACTATGATTTGGAATATAACTAGTGCAGAGCTCACGGTGCACAATTTGAACACTATTTATCCAGACTTATAATTATGGAAAATGCTACAATCCTGTTACGGAATCATTCCGTCGGGATTTATAACTGTTAGATCATCATGTAACCGTCGTGGATAGTTGATCTAACGGTTACCAATCCCGATGGAATGGTTCCGTAACGGGATTGTAGACTCTCCCTATAATTATATACATGAATAAAGAAAAATGTACAGGATATATATAGTACTTGACCCTTGCGAGACACGAGATATATTTATTTGGAGAATATTATATTATAAGATGCAATATTAAATAAAAGTTTTATAGTACGTTGGAAAATTATACAATAAGATAGTATTGGACAAAAAAACGATCATATATCATTATAGACCTCCTTGTACGGGACACATGCCCGTAGCCATGCCGTAATGCGATTTCCCTAAACATGTACAAAAAATTAATTTGTTTAAAAAAACATAAATAATGTAAATATCTAAATATATACACGATCTCTAGAAGAAATAAGACAAATTCTAAATTTTATACATAGAATAAAAAAAAATGAAAATACACGTTTCATATTTAGAAATTAAAAAAAAAAGTAAAAATAATTTGGCTTACAATTTTATCATGCAGAACCAACTCGAGATAGGATTTGTATGTGCTGCCCCAATATTGGAAAAACATTCTTACAATTCGAACTTTAAGCATAGGTCTATTGACCTATTAACTTGTTTGATAAAGATTTATAATTTATAATTGGTAGAGTAGATACAATAGCTGTTAATATTTTTATGGAAAAATCTCAATATACAGAAATCGGATTACATCAAGACGAACAAATCAGAACAGATTTTCCATACAATTAGATAAGATTTTTTGTTAAAAGATAAGAAGGAATTTTCAATTTACACAAACTTTAAACATTAGATGTATTTACGTAAATAAATAACTATATAGACAATTAAACCCTTCAATTTACGAAAATCGGATTACATCTAGAGGAATAAATCAGAACAAATTTGCCATACAATTAGATAAGATTTTTTGTAAAAAGATAAGAAGGAATTTTCAATTTACCCAAACTTTAAACATCAGATGTATTTACGTAAATCAATAACTATATAGACAACTAAACTCTTCAATTTAGGCTTGACATCTGCTTTATTTATGGGTGACGTGAAATAAAGATTTAAATTTTACCCATCAAATCTTTATTTATAGGCTTGACATTAGGGCATCCGCAACGCTAGTTTTTTAGCCCCGTTTAAATGGAGGATAGGCCGTTAAGTGGGATGCAAAGCATGTTGGGATCTGTGAGGATCTCGTTATGTACAAATCACGAATTCAATAGCAAACGTAAACCTATGCGCAGCGGATCTAAAGGTTTGACCTAGAGAACTTACGGCTTAAAATTTATGTAGATCTGGTTGACCACGAATGGTTGACCACAATTGATTGACCGCAACTCAAGTCTTGGGTTGCAAAAGCAAGATCAGATCAAAAATCGGATCAAATGGATGCAAACAGATCAAAACAAAACCTGCAGCCTGGGAGCTTCCGGCGGCGCTTGAGGGTGCGTGAGGCGTCGGACGGCTGCGATCTCGGCGGCGATGGAAAGCTCTCGTCAAGACGGTCGTCTGGGTATGCTGTACGTCTCAATCGGACTTCCGGTTAGTTCTGTAGGTCAAATTATATCTCGTCTCAGTTTACCTACAGATCTTCTACTGTATTACTCAATACACCCTTCTTCTGCTTGTACCAGTGGAGCAACAAGGAGAAGATAAAGCTCGAATGAGATCTGCAGAGAGAGAGAGAGAGAGAGAGGCGTGGGGCGTTATTCACGTGTGATTAGGAATTTCCATCTCTTCTCATGAGCTTAATGATGTATATATAGAGCTACAGTAGGGACCCTTAGGAGATTAGGAAAAGGGCTCCTTAATTAATTAGACTAACTGTGGGCCAAGCTCACTCCTCTAATTAATTAAATAATATTAATGGGCCACCAACATTATATTATTGTACTCCCTCTTCCTAGCCCAAATTACATTTGAGACTCCAATAATAATTACTCGATTTACCTCCCCACGTTTAAGATATAATGTCCATTAATTAATTCGATTACTGACAATCAAGAATTAATTAATTTATTATTATTTCACTGGAGCTAGCGCTCGTTCATCACATTCTTATTATGCCGGAACTTAATCCACCTGCAGGGTTTAGCATAACAATCCTTCATGAACTCACTCCGGGGACATCATCAAACTAACGCACATGGTGACCGTAAATATCCTAACAGCCCATCCTATATATAATAATATTACCCAAAACAGTAGGAATATTAATCCAGCAAACTGAACCTCACCCATGTGAATCAAAGTAATATATATTATATATATCTACCTGTTTAATATCTTACGGATTAAGAGAACGCAGTAATTAACCGAGGCCTAGTTCATTTACAACGATCAGTATAAAATGAACTTCTCCTCTCTGGGATGCTGTTCAATACTTAAATGTACTAGTGCAACTAATCAGTCAAGACAAACTGTACAGTTGACACTACAACAGTTCGGATGGGGTGTTCATGTCCATTTAGGTTGTGAACAACTATTCTTGTTCGCAAGTGACTGATAGAGTGATCTTCGGTTCGCCCGATGACGACCCACCCTATCTAAGTGCAGAACAACAGAACGTAGAACTTGTTTAATCTAACATGATTCTCATTCATAAAGGTTAAATGTGTAATAACATGCAAAGCCAAGCTATCAGTATATAATACTAACAAAGCGTTCATTTAATGTGGCCCCCATTTCGTTCATTCAGTCCATTAAACGGAC